TTCCTGTGGCTTTTTTTTTTTTAACCATGCAACACAACCTTTCCTAACACTTTGAACAGGTTTATCTGTTACTGAAACTTCTTGAGCACAAGGGTTTCTACTGCAGACCCTGGTCTAGCCTGGACCCTCCTGGCAGCTGGGTCTTCAGATGGGGTTAAGCAGCAGTTTGATTCAGATGAGTGGTACCTGAATCCAAAAAAAACCCTGAAGGATGACTAATCACTTCTTGGTTGTTCAAGTTTACAATTCTGGTAAGCTCAAAATTGTCCTGAACATGTGAAAAGATTTTGCTACTCTTAGAGTTTTTTCTTTTGTAATGATTACTACTCAATTTTTATTTATTTATTGAAGTATAGTCAGTTTACAATGTTGTATCAATTCCTGGTGTACAGCATAATGTTTCAGTCATACATGTACATACATACATACATAGATTTTCATATTCTTTTTCATTGTAGGTTACAAGATATTGAATGGAGTTTCCTGTGCTATATACAACATAAACTTACTGTTTATCTATTGTATATATACTAGTTAGTATCTGCAAATTTTGAACTCCCAATTTTTCTCTTCTACCCCTTTCCCCACCCCAGTAACCATAAGTTTGTTGTCTATGTCTAAGTCTGTTTGTGGATTTTTTTTTTTAAGATTCCACATATAAGGGACATCATATGGTATTTTTCTTTCTCTTTCTGGCTTACTTCACTTAGAATGACGATCTCCAGGTCCATCCACATCGCTGCAAATTTTTTTTGTTAATGGAGGTACTAGAGGTTGAACCTAGGACCTTGGGCATGCTAAGCATGCACTCTACCCCTGAGCTATACCCCTCACCCCCCTCCTAGAGTTTTTTCTAGAAGAGAGAATGTTTAACTGGCTTTGTCATTCAACAGTACTCTGTAGAACATGCTAGCTTTGTATTCCTTGAACATGTAAAGGTGTCCATCCCGCCCAGGGTGCTTTTTAATACAAGCTACCCTCAATTCCCTAAGGTGGTTTTTGTGTTTGAAGCATAATATGCATGTGGACTTTGGGGACAGGACTCTGAAGATATTCATTTGCACCCACAGGCCCTCGCTTGCCCTTCGCGTTTTGTTCCTCTTTTGATTGTCGTGCTTCACGGCCTTGATCAGTCTGTTTCATGATCTGATGAGAATACTTTATTTCCAATGCAGTAAACACAGTCTCTCTTTGACACCAGCCTGACGCTAGTCTTTGCCTCTTTTCTTATTCACAGCAGTCGTGTCCTGATCTTTGCGCTATGTCAGGAGAGCCACTCAGCTCAGCCTGCCCTCACAAGACACAGGGCAAAACTGGGTTTTGGCCACACCAATCAGGATTCAGTAGCGCCCCCTGGGGGCGGGAGGGAAGTGGCGTACCAGTTGAGAACCAGTTCCCCAGGTCTTGGAAATGCACCAGCAGGCAAGAGCTGGAAAATAACTGGGTCTTTGCTGTCCCTGACGACTTTCGTCTCCTTGCTCTTTGGATCATCTCTGCTCATCGTCACCCGATCCTTTCAGATTCAGCATCACTAGGTCCCAATTTAAAAATCTAGTCATTCTCCTCCCAGACATAGAAAAGAAACTTATGGTTGCCAGTGAGGAAGGGGGCAGGTGGGGAGGGATAAATTAGGAGTTTGGGATTAACAGATACACACTACTACATATGAAACAGATAAACAACAAGGACCTACTGTATAACACAGGAAACTATATTCAATATCTTGTAATAACCTATAATGAAAAAGAATCTGAAAAAGAATCGATAGGTAACTGAATCACTTTGCAGTACACCTAAAACTATCACCACCGTGTAAATCAATTATACTTCAATTAAAAAAATCTAGTCATTCTCACATCTCTAAGGAAATGTGTCCCACGTCCCAACCCTTGGGTCTCCATCTTCCAGGAGGTCTAACTAGAACCATTATAATGTTTCTAAGTCACTACTTCAGTGCCCAGGGCCATTTACATCCCCTAATGTAAGTCCCTTCTCTTCCCAGTCTGAGTTTTTCTCTGAGCTTTTGAGAGATTCTAGCTCTGGGCAAGGTAATATCTCTCCTTTATTATGAGTGATGCCAAAAGAGCAAGCTGGGGCTCTTTGGAAAATGTTAAGTACAAAAATCGTAATACTCCAGAAAAATATTAATTTTAACAATAACTTCTCTAAGTTAGCGTGGCTTTATTAGGACTTTCTCATCAAATTACCCAGAGAGAACTAAAAGTCTACACGTGTATTATGTAGGGTTTTTTTTCTTTAAATGTTTCAGGCTTTGATTTTGACAGAGCTGGTTTTCTTCCGCTAAGGAAGAGCGATGTGCTATTGCCTCCACCTCCACGTGACATTTCAACTTAGGAACATAAGGGGGAAGAAATGAAAATTGTACTTATTCTTCAAAATCACAAGAGGAAGAGACATAGTTTTAAAATCAGCTTTAAATCAACAATGTAATTATTATTGTTTGATCATCTTTAAATGTTGTTAAATATTTGCCATTAGCGCTTTACTGTCTGAAAGAGAAATTATATCATATTTTCTTAAGACTAGACTAATGTCAGCTGGCTATTTATTTATGTGACTATCATAAATTTTACAGGCTTTGGAAGAAACCAAGAATCCAGTGTAGGATCTGTGCCACCTCTCTGTCCATCTCTCTTTGAAAGAGGTGAAAACCCAATAGAATTTTTCAGTAGGGTTTTTGGTGTAGGTTTCAACAGCAGGTAGTTAACATTCAGTAGTTAGCTGAGCTCCAGAGTCTTAAATCCTACATCTTAGTGCCATAATGAGTTACTACAACTTCTTCCACCCAAGGATCATCCTCCCTGGATAATTTGATGGGCTTTCATAGGAGAGGATAGATTAGAATGACTGAGTACATGAGTGGTCATAAAAAGTTGAAGTGATTTGCTGAAGATAACAATGAAGCAAGAAGGGAAAGACCCAGTAGCACATTCGTAAATATTATAGTTCTTGCCATTGTGGCTTTAGTTTCTAACTGAGAAAACACCCACTTCCGGCTATAATTTCTGGACTCAAGAATGACTCCTAACTGGAAGTAAGATTGATGGAACCAGGAACCAGAGAAGGATGTACTGGGAAGGCAGGTGCACAATTCCATACAAAGTAGGCGCAGTTTAATTGGCCAAGCTTTCTTTCACTTTTGGTGCTATGAAAGTATGAAGTATAATGAATGGGTGAAGAGAGGATAAATACATGGCTTAACACCCCACCCAGTAAAGCGTCTCTTCACCAACTCCTCCCAATTCACCACTGCCTGGGGCAAGCAAAGAATTCTAGTGTTGGCTGAGGGTGACGAGGATGGACCCACCAGTAACAGTGGACAGTAACAATTACTGCTCCTGAGGCTGTAACCATGGATATTGGTAGTCTTAGCCCAGAGCATCTTTCCTGCCTTTTAATTGGCTGAAAAATAGATGTGTGAGCCGGCTTCTCCATTCACTAATGTAAGTTGTTCGTGTTGGGCGGTTTGTGGAAGAAATTCTGTCACATGCTCACTGATGCACTTCCTGCCTATGACAATCTGAGGCATCATAATTAAAATTTGCCCACATTTCCTTCTCTGAGAATGGAAAGCCTATCTCGTGTTCAGAAATGACCGGATGTTTCATCGCTGACATTTCAGAATCATCTTCATCTGAGGATGTCTATTAAATTCCAGAATCAAAAGAAAAAAGGGAGAACAACCAACTCATTATGTCTTTTCCTTTTGCCCAACCCTTTATCTGAGGGTGGTCTGTTTTCTGAAGATGTAGGGAGAAACAATAATTATTTGTTTGAAGGCTGTATCCAGGCTCTGAATTACAAAACACAATTTATAACCTCGGAGGATAATGATCTGCCCACCTGTAGATTTGTCCCAACTTCCTTAGAGAAGACTGACAGGTAGGGGACTTTTCCAGAGTTTAGTTTGTCTTATGTTGCACCCCGTAATTCAAAGCTATTCAGAATATTTTCCTGAGTCAGGAGCCCTAAAATGAAAATGCCGCAACTGTCAGCGAGAACGGAGAGCAAGATCAATACAAATTGCCACCACTGGGGAGGTGTGGGGGACACTAATTTAGCACTCTGTGTCTGCAAAGGACTCCGCTTTCAGAGGACTTTCCAGTGCTGGTCTACTGTGCAATGTAGTATTTCGTGCCCCTCCCCCCAGGCAGGAGGGGAGGGAACCTTGTGGTTTTGTTTGTTGTGAAGTACATTATAGCAAATCATATTAACACCAGGATCCAAAACCATAAGGCAGGGCTTAAGTCACCCTTCTAGACCAAGTTTCCTCCAGTCATTTATATTGTTTTCAATCATTTTTTGGATAGGCGTTAAGTATGGCAAAGTATAAAACTACTGAATGCCTGGATAATTTTTATTGCATCTGCAAGGCTGTGTTGAGGTATTCTGACTCTGCACGAGTCATGGTTTGTCCTGACTTATACAGATTTATACTGACTTCTTTATGGAAGACTGACAAGTGGGGGCCTTTTTAAAAGATTAATCTGTCTTATGTTGCACCCAGTAATTCAGAGTATCAAACCGAGGTTTCATTTATTCAGTCCCAACACTCTTATCTAAATTTCCTTTTCATTGTCAAGTGTACAATTAACATAAGGACCATTTTTCCTCCTCCACCCGCAAAGTAGTTCAAAATAACAAATAGCAGCAAGAAGTTTAAAAGCATGGATTGTTTCTCCTACTTTCTCATATGTAGCTTTTCACATGAGCTGTTTATTGGTCATCAAATTACTTAAGGGTCAGGAATTCATTCTTTTCATAATGTTCTACAAAATAGACTCATTAACTTTGCTATTATTTCTAAATTGATACGCCCAGTCCATGAATATCTGTCTGGTGAAAGGGCACACTGAGCTGACAGGATGCTCCGGTGTCATTGCTGAGGGCTTGCTGTATTTGGCCCGTCTCTTTCTCCTCTGCCCAGCAAAGATGACCTATTTAGCCACCAATACTCAGACACCTTTCATTTTCGGTAGAGTTCTGGTGAGGAGGATCCTCTAGCCGAACCAAGATTATCTACCAAGAATTCTGCATGTAAGAGCGATTCCAGACTTCCAGCAATTGACCAAACATCAGTCAAGCAGAAACACAAAAGTACCATGACTCCAAAGAAATCAGAGAAAGCGGGCCCCAGCAAACCCTCTCCAGGTGAGTGGCGGGTTTATTGAAATTCACAAAATCTAAGATCCTGGCATCAGAGATAATGACAACAATCAAATGGGGTGGGGGGATCCCTTGATGACACCTAGTGTTTCCAAGTAGCTAATTCAGGTTTTGGAGGGTTCGATGATGGTACACAAGTGATAAAATGCATTGCAGAGTAGAACCTCAGGTCAAGGAGGTGTGAATTATGCAGAGCAACTGTCTCCACTGCCCACATTTTCCGCCCAGTCACTGGCTTTGTGTGGCCCCAGCCTAGAATGGCTGCTTTTTCATCTTCTTCACCCTTCTGGGGGGATAAAGGCATTTGGCCCCAGGTATCAAGTTTTATGACTCCATCCAGAGCATGAAGAGAAGCTTTCAAAAGCATCTGAATGGCATAATTTACAGCCGAGAAAGAGAGTAATAAAGTCTTCCAATTCTGGGGTTGTCCTCTCCGGGGAAAAAAGGGGGCTTGATAAATCCTCCCCTTTGTGCAATTTGGTAAATAATTCACTCTTTAGCTGCCTTTGAAGGGAAGACCAGTCCTCTGCTTGAGGCAGGAGCAATTTAATAGTATCCAGAAAGGGGATAAATTCAACTGAAAGTTTAGAGTCCCTCGGGCTCATCCGCATTAAAGCCAACATCTGTGGGACAAACTTGATTCCTCTGGGAACTGACGTCGGAGTTGGGGTAACTAGGCAGAAAGGTCTGCCTTCTGCTTGCAGTGGAATGGAAATGATCCAAATTAACTGCCGAAGAATTTGTAAATAGCGTGCAATTCATTTAAATCCCAATCACAATGACTCTCTCGTCCTAAATAGCTCCTGTCTGCAACTACCCATCCAGTTAAGTTTTGACGCATTTTTAGACAAGGGCAGCTCTCACTCAGATTAGCCACCCACGCTTTATAGCTTTAATGAAGTTAAAAAAAAATTTTTTTTGACTTCTGAATTGATGTCATTTCAGGCAAAGCCCCAACTTTTTCCTTATTTAATCAAGGGAAAGTATCACCATGGTTAATAACGTCTCTTTTTGAAGACTTTCAGCAGGAATTAGGTTTTTAATTCAGTTGTTTAAGAACGAAATAGGGCAGATAAGATCATTCCCCAAATATTTCAAAATACGTGTTGTAATGTATCAAACTGAGGATGTTTTTAATAGGAAAAAAATGAATTTAAGCTTAAATCATGCAACTCCAGTCACTCGATATAATTTTTAGCCTTTTTGCCAAAACTGGGTAGCCATTCGCATGGTGTGCTTTGCCCTCTGCGGAGGCAGATCATTCAAATGGACAGCTGAGGCCCGCTCCGTGATTTTAGTTTGTCTGATTAATACAACTGTCTTCCCAACCGAGCAGATTCCATATGGAACTTCCAACACCGACAGAAAGGGAGAATTAACTTACTTTGCATTCTATAAAACATCAGATTCAAAGAATGACTAGACTAAAGCACTAAGGTTTAGGCAAGAGAGCCACGTTGGCAGGAAGATACTTATTTCACCAAATGAGGGATGTTCCCTGTGGTAAAAGCTTTTAAAAACCACCAGCTTCAAAAAATAATAAAACAAATCTTAAAACGCCAGCTTTCTCATCATATTCTAGCCCTAGATCCTGTCCACGCCCCACGCAGCCGTGAGCTGGACTGTGGCCCGGCTGTCCAGCCGGTGTAACAGTCTTGGTGACGGATGTCAGTTACGACACAAGCCGAATCAGTCCTACAGCAAATTGGGTTGATCGTGTTAGCTAAAAGCCAAGCCCCAGTGTGTTACGACCCATTCGTTTTGCACGTGTAGTCTCACCCTCAGAGTTCCTTAATTAGCACAGCGAACTGTGAGCCCAGAGACACGGCAAGAATTTAAGCTGACTCTATCCAGGCAAAGTCGTGTCCAATGGTGGTGACAATTGAGAAAATTCAGATAAATACCCGGCTATCATAGAAAAAGAGGATTTGGGACCTGAATTATCTGGACACATTGATTCGGTTCACCAAATAAATTCATAGATTCCTGCTTTTCTTTACCTCTGCAGGGAAATAGTTTCCTAATAGTTTGGGGCCATCCCAAAGTTAGCAGAGTCACCAAAACTTCTTCCCATGTCAGACCTGAGTTCTGTGCAAAACCAAAGCATCAGAACAGTGAGATCCCTTTGCAACATCTGTCTAATAGGCTAACCTTCCATACTGTGTTGTGCCAGACTTTTCCCGAATAAAATAAGACAGCTGAGGGGTATGGCTTGATTTACATTCAAATCTATGCAATGATAATCCATTATAATCCTTATATGTGAACTATCACCTGGAACCCCTAAAACGGCTATTTACAATAGAGAAACCCCCAGTGCCCTCTAATGATAGACATAACCGAGAAGGCATCAGATTTTCATTGTACTTCACACTCTATTAGAATGAATTCACACATTTTAAATTAATTCATATATTCCATGGAGCTGTATCTAGAGCTGGCTTGTGATTGTCCTTGTTGCCTCTCTTTGTGCAGCACTTTTGGGCAAGTGCTTTAGAGTCAAAATGCTTGGATCAGCATCTGGGCCCCGTTTCTCATTTGCTGTGTCCCTTTGTGCAAGGAACTTCTCTGTGCCTCAGTTTCCTCATCTGTAAAACGGCGAAGCTGGGGGGGCAGAACAGGTGCCCCTCTCTGGGATGGCTAGGGGGTTTCAATCATAAAATGTACGCTCAGCCCAACACCACAGCACTCGATACACGATAGCCTTCTGGTATCTTGCACACGAGAGCTGCATTCAGTAGGAAGAATGGACTAGACATATTGCCTCCCTGCCGCCACCACCAGTCTTTTTTCCTTTACCAAGAAAAATCAGACTTGTGTTTTTAAACTCCTAACACAAATGCAGGTACATTTTTTACTACACCCTGAATTTCCAAAGCAAAACACCAAATGGAAAAAGATGAATAATCAGAAAGCATTCACCACCAAGCCAGAGCGTTGCTTTCCCTCCAAAAAGACATGGAAAATTCAGGCAGTGAGTCAGGACCCAGCTGGGTCTGATGTCCAGTTGATTCGGAAATCCTACTTCATGACCAAGGTGAACACTGATGTGGGGGAAGAAACAGGCCTAGCAGAGTTACATACTCATCTTTCATAAGCAGAGGGAGGCTTGGGGATTACGCTTTACCGAAGGCCCAGTCCGTACCCAGGATCTGAGTCCTGTCGACCTGTACGAACCAGTGGGAAGCCCAGCAGACAGCAGGCCTGGTGAGTGCAGGGAGCTATAGCGGCCGCCGACTCCTGGACGCCTGCCTGGTCCCCAAACCCCTCCCAGCCCCTTCCTGACTTGGAGAGACGCCACCTCTCCTTTCCAGGACACGTAGAGGCATCCAAAGGCCATTGTGCTGTGGGGTTCTGGCACCTGGAGCCCTAAAGCACTCTCGACCCCAGTGCCAGGCTCCTGGGACGTGAGTGTGCCCTGTCCTGCCCTTTCTTCTCACCCAGAGCCCGGGCAGAGTCCCCCGAGTTACGTGCCAGGAAAACGGATCTGGATGGAGTCCGGTGAGCCAGCTTCCAAAATCTTGCCCTTTAAAACAAAGCCAAATGTTCTGAAGTTATCCTCGCTTATTACTGAGTTCAGTGTTCGTCATTACCAGACTCAAATTTGTAGGAGCAGCGAAACCTCTTCCGCTTAATAGTGGCTTTATTGTGAAGATGTAAAACTAAGAAAAAGCAGTACATTCAGGTTTTAAAAGATTCACATCTTTTTGCTCTCTTTGGGACCAGGAAATATTTATTTGAAGAGCATCCAGGACAAGAAATTTGAGGGCAAATCCCAAATCTTCATAACTTACCTTGCAAATAAATTCTGTTGAAGATTTTCTCTGCAAGGCTAAGAGTAGTGGTTTCCAGGCAAGTCCACTGGCATCCAACAACTTTCCAAGCTACCTGCCCAAGTTAGAAAACAACCAACATAAGTGGATGCTCCCATATTTATAAAGAGAATCAATTCTCAGTCCATTCTTGGTGATGCTGCTGAGACAGAGGGGCTCGGGGGTGTCACAGAGCCCGGAATTTGAGGTTCTGGCTCCGATCCTGGTCTACCGCTTACTGGCCCTATCAATGTAAATTAGCAACTTCTCCAAACCCAGCTTCCTCTCGAGTAAAATGGAGTTATTACCAACCTCACAGGTAGACAGGAGGACTAAAATTCTGGGTATAGACCAGGCTTTGGGTAAAGGTTAACCCCAGTCCTCCCTCCCTCTGTTGCCTGCTCCCAACACCATATGCTGCCCCCAAGTTAGCATCTTTACAAGAGAATAGCTCAACCAAAGGAATTTTAGTTTGAGATGTGAGAGGCTAAAACCTGATTATAAAATGTTAAACTCTTTGATTATCAATTAAGTCATCAGTTTATCCAGTACCTATGGGATGTCAGCAATACATTCAGCTTCCCCACTGTCTCAGAGTGTATAGTGCAGGGGGCGTGGGTTTTCCCATCCATCATGCAATCATTCAGCACTTTGATATTCATTTACCGCCTGCCTACCAGCCAGGCACTGCATAGGTGCTGGGCGTACAAAAATAAAACCCTCCAGGGGCTCACAGCCTAGTGGGAGGGCAGGACACCAACACACCCTGACCAAGGTAAGTTCTAAGAATTTGTGGGGAGGGCCAAGTCAGGTGAAATCCTGAAGGACAGGGGATGTAGCCAGGAGAGGAAGGTCAGAAAGATATGCCCAGCGGGACGCTCTGAGTGCGCAAAGGCATAGAGGAGACAGCGAGGCAGAGGGGGAAGAGAGAGAGGACAGACAGACCGACATCAAGGAACTACATCAAGGAACTACAAAGAGTCTAGGGCCTTATGCCTCAAGGTGTTCCCAGACTAGGAGCAGAGGCATCACCTGAGAGCCTGTTAGGAATGCAAGAACCTCAGGTCCCAGTCCAGCCTTATGGAATCAGTACTTGCATTTAACAAGATCTCTGCGAGATCTGTATGCACGTTTGAGTTTGAAAAGCTCTGGTTTAGGGTCAGACTACAAATTAGGCAGTGTGGAGTATGAAGTTGACACCCTACAGGTAAGCAAGGACCAGGCCCCCAAGGGCCATGAATGTCACGCTAGAGGCAATGAAGCATCAGATCTAAGTAGGGGAGCGATGCCAGCAGACTGGCAATGTTAAGAGCTGACTGTATCAAGGAAGGGAGGCTGTCTGGGAGAGTGAGGACCGCCAGACAGAGGCCAGGAGACCAGACAAGCTGTAGCTGCAGTGGACCCAGAGAGAAGTGAGAGGGCCTGGACCCGGAGCAAACACAGAGGCGAGTGGAGAAGAGGGCCTAGGCTAGAGGGATGTTTCAGGAAGTAAACCTGATTTGGTGACTGTTGGGATGGGAATGATGAAAAGGGAGGAATCAAAAAGAACCTGGAGTTCTGGCCCAGAAAACGAGGCCAATGGCGGTTGCCTTTGCCAAGGCTGAGAAAGCAAGAAGAGGGTGGCTCCTGTTCCATGGGTGTTGTCTTTGAGGAACAGCCAGGACAGCCAAGAGATGCTGGAAGCACCTGGGTACCCAGGTCTGCTGCTCAGCAGAGGACTTTCGGCTGCCAGGAGGAAGCCAACGGTCTCCAGTGAGTAAGTGGCTGAACCCACAAGAGTGTCTCCCGTGTGACAGCGGATGGAGTAAGAAGAGGGGGAAATGAAAATAGTTAAAGAAAGACGGGAGAGGACAACTACAGAGACGTGATCCAAGAAGTAGGAACCACTCCAGGAGCCAAGGGAGGCATCTGGAAATGCAGGAGTGGGTAACAGTGTCCGCTCCTGTAGAGGATTCCAGTTTTAGGCCTGATATCCCGCCTCCATCAGTGATGGTTTTCAGCCGGATGGTTACAACGATGGCATCTTAGCACTGGAACCAAGTTCAGCTGCAGAACTTCCCAAGCTTCTCTAATAATAAGAATCACCAGGGAGGGGGGAGGGTATAGCTCAAAGTGGTAGAGCGCATCAGCAAGCACAAGGTCCTGGGTTCAATCCCCAGTGCCTCCTCTTAAAAAATAAATAAATAAACCTAATTACCTACCCCCTAAAAAAGATTTTTAAAAAAAATCACCAGGGAGGTACTTAATTGAAATTCCTGTACCTGGTTCCCATTCCTGACCCAGAGCATCAGAATTTCCAGTGAAGGGGTCCGCAAAGATGTTGGTAAACAAGCCCTACAGGTGATTCTCATCAGAGGTCCAGGCAACTGTCTCACCGCCTTGCTCCTCCAACTTTATGGGAAGCACCTGGGGACCTCGAGAAACCGCAGGTTCTGATTCAATAGGTTGGGGTGAGCCAAGATTCTGCATTTCTAAGAAGCTGGCAGGTAACACCCATGCTGCCTGTCTCAGGCCTACTCTTGGAGGAGCAGGGCTAGAGAAAACACCTGTCTCATTCTGCAGACGAGGAAACAGGTTGGGAGGAGGTAAGCCGCTGATCCAAGGTGACCCAGCTTGGATAGTGGCAGAGCTGAGAGAGCTGTCGTGCATGAGGGGGTCTCTCTGGATCGTGACTCCAGCAAGGTTGGCAGATTGAGTGCGAGGTTAGCGAACAAATCATTAACTTCACTTGGACACTTCCCCCTCCCGTCCACCTGCTTCTCCCCACTTGCTCTCTCTCCCTTCCCACGAGCCCACCAGGGTCTCTCTGCTTCTTTCTCTTTTCCCAAGCTTCCCCGGCTGCAGCAGAAAGGCCAGGCTAGGGCATGACCACAGCCTCCCACCGGGGGCAGCTGGAAGACCTAGGGAGAGAGCCTTACCTAAGTGAGAGCCTGCGGGCCTCCATATGTTGCTGCCAGAACAGCTAATGAGACTGGCTGTGGGAGAGGAGAAGGGACCCAGAGCTTCCACGTGGGAACTTAGTGGGAAAGAACTTTCGTGCATCTGTCAGGGACGCTGGAGCCGACTGGCCAGAAAGGGGTGTGATGGTGATGCCGTCTCCCTGATTAACTCCTCAGTGACTGTGAGATCCCTGCTGGGTGCCTGCTGTGCCACCTGGAGACGCCACCCCCACCCCACTCCCTCCACTGAAGAACGATTTTTGCGTTTTGATTCATGCACAGACGTTTTAATGTCCTTCCCCACCGTGAGTGCTGCCTCCTGACTGCTCTTTTTCTTTTGTGCAGGTGACAGCAGCGAGCACCCCCTGTTCTGTGTTGAATATTCCCCTTACTGCTCCGTCTTTGCTTTCTCCCCCGTCTTGCAGCCCAATACCAGTTGCTGCTGCCTCCTCCTGCCACTAGTGCCCCCCGCCCCACCAGCGGCCCAGGACTCTTCCCCCTACCTCCCTCCAGTTTCCTTTCCCTCCTTCCTGAGCCCCACCGCATCCTCCCCAGGCCCCATGCCCGAGTCCCCCGCAGCCCTGTGCTACTTCCCCATCTCCTGCCCCAGCCCCGCCGAGACCCCTGTGCTGTGCCTGCCCGGCCCCAGGAGGCCCAGTAAAATTTACCTCGTGTGGTAAGATGCCCTTGGCAAGGCACATGGCACAGTGGAGTTGGGGGCCAGGGTGGGGTGAACTTCAAGCTCCCAGGAGTCAGGTGGATTGGAGGGCTGTGCGGGGGCCAGAAGGCAGTGCCATGAACCACGGCAGGAGGTGTGTGAGGGGGAGCAGAAGACCAGACAGCTGCTGCCACTTCCTTCAGCCTCCTCCTAGCACAGGAGGAGCGAGCCACCAATAAAATCCCATCAGCTCTGGAGACTAATTTGATTTCTTCACTCCTGTGTCTGCCACAGTCTGGACCATTAACCACCAGAAACTGAACTGGCTCTTGTGTGTCAGATCAGACCCTCGGCTCTGGGAATGGGCACGCCGAGCCGCCCCAAGAGGGTGGCCCCAGGGGCAGGCCTTTGGGAAAGCACACGCTGCCTCTGAAAGCCCGTTCAGAACCACACCGAGGAGGGACAAATGAAAAGGCCCGGTCGCTGTTCACATTTTCTCTCCTGACTACTTATTAGGCCCTACACTTCCCCAAATCAAAAACCCCACCTCCCGGGTCCCCAAATAAAGCTTATTTATGGTCCATAATTAAGCTTTAATTAAGCTCTCCTCTGGGTACGTGAGACAACACACATCTCCCACGCTCTCAGACGGGCAGACACTGCCTGTTATTTGTGACTGTACAGAAAGCTGCCACTTACACCAAGGCAACATCAGCTCTCGCGATTAAGCTGTCATTCTTGCCACTATCTGAAGGGAGCAATAACTTTTTTTTTCCCAAAGGGCATCTCTTAGGCAGAAACTTGGCACCTCGTAGGATCTGGGCAGTGAAGTCAAGATGGCACAGGGGAGGGGTAAAGATTCAGGATTTGGACATTTCTCTTCACCTTTCTTTTTGACTTTGTTTATCCAGCAGTGTGTCTGTATATGTGGCAGGTGACTAGGTGAGGTGAGGAAATTTACGATCATCAGGTGCAGGGAATTAACGTGGACCATTCAGTGGTCTCGGTTTTTAGTCATCAGGGTCGTGTAGAAATGTAAGATTTCTACCTTTTTCCCTTTCCTGGTCAAATTAAGAACTATTCAGTCAACAGTCAGTGTCCCTGCACTGTCAAGAGATCTGAGGTGGACACCTATTATGTCAACAGCTGTTTGGCTTCTTTGTTCCTAGAGGCATCGCTTTGCCCAGATACTAGAAGATATGGGCTTCATGTTGCCCAAAGCCAGCCACAGTCTTCCCAAAATTTGCCGACCAACTTTTTAGGATGCTAAGTTGCCTGGCAACGAAACTCCTGAACACAACCTCATCCCGTTCTCTGTGAGGCAAAGGGTGTGTCCTGCTACCTGGAGAGGAAGTTATAGCTCACCTTTCAGTGTAAATATAACTTGGTCTTCCTGCAAGTTAATATACGTACCACAGCCATCTTAGAAAGGCTTCAGAAGTCTGAGGTTTGGTTCGCTTTGGGTGCAGCTAAGGTGATTAGGAACTGGAATTCACGTACATACAACGTGTGCAGCTCTGGTCACCTTATTTGTGACTGCAACTGCAGATAGAGAAGAATATTTTGCAAGAGTCGGCTTTCCATAGAATTCAAAGGGTATCACAGGGAAGGAGTCAGTGGTGCAGCCGAATTCGATTATAACCTTTAGGCTAAAATGTCTTACTCACCTTTGTGAGCCCTCAGATTATTACATAGCAAAGGCACAGGAGTATTTGCTGAACAAATTATAATAAAAAAAGAGTTGTAATTTACCTTTTGGATTTTATAAAAGGATTAAGGGAGAGAGTCAGCAAGAATTTCAAAGGAATAAAGGCTGCTGAATAAGTTAGTCTCAATCTATAAAGCCTACATAACAATAAATTTCTGGCCAAATTCAGTTATCTCAGGGGAGTGACTTAAGATTTCCAATTATTATTCATAGTATTTTCACGGTTTATGGTAGAAGCAGCAGCTACCATTTTTAGCAGCTGATAAGCACCAGACACTGAGTTAGGCCATTAACATACATTATTGCTAAACTTTACAATAACTCAACAAGATAAGAACATTCCCATTTTACAGATATAGATACTGAGATTCAAATTGCCCAAAGTCAGAGGATTCTGCCTGCTCTCTCAGCAGTGTTTTCTTCATTGCCAGGCTTGGTAAAACAATCTCCAGTTTTTCAGCTTTATTACTTTAGTTTGCTGAGAACTCAGAGGAGTTACGGAAATCATTCTGGAAATTATTTAAGAGAACTGATGCTTCGAAGAAAGTACTTTTTTGAACAAGAAAACAAAATAACCTTATCAAGTCATCCTGGGTGTTCAGCACAAGAAAAAAAAAATGGTTCTACTTTTGGAATTCCCATGGTTTCAGCCAAATGCATCTTCTCAAGCCCTGCAAATCCTCCTCGGCGATTATTTGTCCTGCAGGGGAGTTTGAGGCCACACAGAGGCTAAGACAGGGTCCTCATCCCTCAGGAGCTTACAGTTTAGTTGAAGAGAAGAGACACACACCTTAGGCAATTTTGGAATACTGTGAAAGTTCTGGCCAGAGTCAGAGCAGACGCAGTGGACATAAAAGTGGAAAGAGATCTCCAGGGCCCTGCTGGCTGGCACAGGCTAGTACAGGCCAGGGAAGGAAGGCCCTCTGGGAGGGAGGACCATGCCCCCTGAGGGAGTAGGGGTGTGGATGGGGTGGAGGTGTGGTGGGTTGCAGACTGCTGCCTGGAGTGTGAAGGAAATTTGAATGTTCTGCTGGGAATCAAAGTAAAATCCTTGCAACAAGAACCTTTGGGCCAGGTCCTGAGTACGCACTGGACTTGGCCTGTGCCCCAGGCCTGCCCCTTACCTGGTCCTTCCTCTGCTCCTCCTCAGTAAATAGTAATCCCGCCGCTGCCCCCCACCCCGCCTTCATCAGGTGCCAGGCAGGAGGCAGCCGTTGACTTCTGAGAGCTGGAGCGGGACGAAGAAGCCTCAGTGATGGGGAGAAGCCTCTTTACTGGAGGAATGCAGCTCTTAGGGCTGAGAAAGGGCTCCCCCCTTTCCTCTGTGCCGGGTCCCTCACTGTAAAGCCCTCCATCCTCTCTCTCACCTTCCTCCCCTCTCCCCCATCTTGGGTCAGTGACATCCTGTCTAATCACCACCCTACACCCTCCAAAGACTATATTCTCATTTTCTGGAGAATTCTCTCCTTTTCTGGTCATGCCCACAACCCCTCTGGACTGCACCAATTTGTCCTAAGCTGGAATTGATACCACCAGCAGTTCTCCTCTTCTAGAAAGTTCCCTGTGGAACACAATCCTCTCTGTCTTACAGCACAGAACCCACTGCCTTCCCCTGCGAGGGCCCATCAGGGACAGCAGGGTAGTATCTAACCACTGTATTAAACTAGGCTTCATGAGCTGCGAAGGAGAACTTTCGTTCCTTTCCTGAATCTGGACGAAAACTATTCACACAACCACAACTCACACCGTGGCACGCAGATCCAGCTGTCTGCACGTGCCAAGAAAAGCTGTTCTCTCTCACACGACTCGGGGACCCTTCCCAGCTTTACCCCCGTTGCCTGCTGGCGACAGCTATTTGTGAAATTTCTGAACTGTCCAAAATGGGGGTGAGCCAGGCCAATTTTCTTGGAAGCATTTAGTCTAGATTTTCACAGTTTAACTGCCTGTGAACTTAGGGACTCACAGAGATGCATGGAAAATGACAAAACTTTCCCCAAACTCACATGCGCTGATGCTTAATCCACGTGAAGAAGAAACCTGAGATTATTCGTACCAATGAGCAACCTAATTCAGAATGTGAATTTAAATATATATATATATATATGGAACTCAATTCATGTTCACAACCTAGATACAGTCTTCCTGTGAGTCTATCACCCCAGCACAGTGGCAGGTCGCATATAGGCAAGAAAAAAGGTATATGGTCCCCAGGTGTTTGGAATCTTTCTGGAAGGCCATGCTAGCTGCTAAGAAATCACCCAGGGACACGAATATACGGGTGCAAAACAGGCTGTGATTCAAACTTGGATGAGCACGTGGGGAGCAGGGCCTCTGTGTGTCTCAAATGTAGAAGGCTCTTGGGTGGGAGGGTGTAGCTCAAGTGGTAGAGTATGCTTAGTATGCACAAGGTTCAGTCCTGGGTTCAATTACCAGTACCTCCGTTAAAAAATAGATAAGTAAATAAACCTAATTACCTCCCCCCACCAAAAAAAAGAATTTAAAAAAAAATTTTTAATATAGAAGGCTCTTGACAGTTTTACCAACAGGCCCACCCCAACGTCTATGAATTAGGACGCTGGAAACGTCTTAGCAAAACAAAAGCCCCCCACTAGAGACTCCCCATAGCAGGTGTCATGGGTGCTTATTAATGGTAATAAGAGCCTTGTGAAGGAGTTACTATTATTTCCACATAACAGGTGGGGAAACCAAGTCTTCCAGAAGTGATTTGTCCAAGCCCACGTGGCTGCAAGGTCGTGGAAACGGGTTTCAAATCCAGCTCGTCCCTGACCTCCTGGGTCTATTATTCCCTTAAACGCCTTCCCCACTGAGCGCCCCTAAACATTCTCTGTACAGAAGATGTTTCCCTGTAAAAAATTAATTATTGAAAAGATTCTGCACCTTCCAGCAGCCCAGGCACCACAGATTTTATCAAGAAAGAAGAGGCCAGACCTGGGGAGACTGACAGTCAGCCCAGACCTGCAGAGCCCGAGAGCGTGCAGGGACAGAAGCAGACAGATGCCGCGGCTGCCCGGGAAGGCGCTGGCCCTCAGGGGAGCAGGTAAGGGCCCCGTGGCTCGGGCACCGTGGGCCTCAGACGGACTTGCGCTGTTACCTGGCGAATTCCATATGGTTTTTAGGTACTTGTGCTTTGATGTGAAGAGACCGTAGCTCACAATGAAATATGTAAAAGGTTTTAAAAGCCAACTATTGGATCAAGTTTCCTTTTCCAAGGGAGGCTGGTGGGAAAAGGCAGGGCAGGGGGAGCTTTTTACCTTCCTCTGCCGTTACTCCGTAAGTGTGCCTGTGCCTGGTTTTGAGGGGATGCCCTCCACTGGGCTTCTGGAGAGGGGAGTGGTGGGTGGTAGGTGTTGGGGGCCGGGACAGAGAAGCAGTCTGCAGCTCTGGGGATGTCTCACCTGGCCACAGTTCCCGCCCACCTCCCAGGAGGGGTGGACAGGTGTCTGTGGATGACAAGTCTGCTCACCTCCCACAGAGATCTCTCCCCTCTGATCCAAGGCGTCAAGATCTTAATGTGTAAGAAATGACATCAGAACAAATCTATGCTTTATTTCAAAACACTGGTTCGGTGGATACCTCCTCTTTCAGTCCTGAGCATTCATCCTAAGGCCCAAGCCATGCTCCTCTGCTAGGAACATTGTCCTCTCCTGCAGTGGCAAAAGGAGGAATGGGTCCTAAGGAGGCCCCTTGGGAGTCAAGGAAAGCAACATTTGACAGCCAGCCTTGCCAAGGATCTGTTCTTCTGCTTGGGGAAACCACTGAGCATCACCCTTCTTCACCACCTACTGAACACAGTAGCCTTTACTTAAAAATATGAAATATACTGTGGTGGACACATGTGAATATATCTGTATCTGGATGGCTTGAAGTCAGGAGCAATGAGAGCATATGGGAATCTGCAGCAGCCAGGTGTCCACAGGCCCCCAGTGATCTGAAGCCTCCTGTCGGGAAGGGCAGCCCTCACTTCTGGCTCCAGGTCTTCCTCCTCCCAGTGGTGGAGCCTTGGGTGGTCAAGTAACCAATGTGGGTTCCCGTGTTTGAAAATAAAGATAATGAAATCAACCTTATTGCATGGCTCTAATACCTAAAGGAAATAAGATTTTGACCAGCACTTGATCACAGTGGGCACTCAACTCCTTCTAGTTCCTCTCCGGCCATCTCCCCAGCAGTCCTCAATGACCTCCACTGTATCTTCCAAATTTTCTTCGAAGAATATCGACTACTTTTATAACCAGAGGGAAACAATGACAAGTCTAAAGCTGTAAGAATGTAGGAAACTGCTGATCAAACACATGCAGAAGTCTAGACCAAAGACACAGTCTTAAGGCAGAGGGATGATTTTTCTGGTCTCCTCTCATGGCACCTAGAACATTCAGGTGTACCTAGTGGAACTCCTAGGAATGGCAGGCGCTCCACTCAGCTGGAGCCCGTTCGGAGAGGCATTCAGCATGAGTCGCATTTCCTTGGCACCAAACTGGGTGTCTATCCCCAGGCCCAGAGCTATGATGTCTGCTCCCTATTTGATAGACACAAGAAATAGGGTTGAAACAGCATAAATAGAGAATGGCACAGTCTGCCACCTTTAGGGGGACACACACACACACACCAGGAACTGAATTTTTAGAGAGGAAGGCAGTTGTGGTGACCAGGAAGGGTGGAGACTCGCCCCCTGGGGTGTTTCAGGAACCTGCAGAGCTACAGGGCAGCACTTAGCCTGTGACTTCTCCTGCCCCAGCAGCCAGGGTGGCTTCCGGGAAATAAGCTATGGTTCCTGTTTTTCAGAAGTGGCTCAAGCTGATTCTCTGGCCTGTCGGGTGTCTCCTGAAGCCTCAGGGCAGAGGGGGCAGCTCCGTGTGTTCCGGGAACCATGCGAAGATTCAGGTCCCAGCACTTGCTAGCTAATTTCTGAGGCCCTTCACCAAATTCAACACGAAAAGTCATCAGCCAGAGCCTACACTTCCAAATCTTCCACATCAGTTTTTTCTCCATAAAAGTAAAAAAGAAAAAAAAAAGGAGAATTCAGGTTGTCACATAGAAAGCAATTGTTCCTTAAAATGCAATCAGCCCGGTCTGGGTGGGCACACAGCTCCCCTCCTGTACATCCACAGCCCGAAGCCCAGAGCATCCTGCTCCCATGTCTGTTACTGGGGTTCATAAAACTCATGAGGGGCATAACAGGAAAGCTTAACTGATTTCTAGAAGAGCTGATGAGTAAAGATTCTCACTGTGTCCCTGAGCGTCCCATGCAGTTAGCAATAAAAGAGGCTTACAGAGTATCAGGACATCAGAGACTCAAACTGGTGCCCCACCCCCCACCCCCAGGAGGCACCTCAATTAAAACGAGTCAGTATTGACTGAGCCCTCGGCTAAGCTGGATGCTCGGAGGATTTGCTTTCCACCTGCCTGAGCTGTTACCACACAGGACTTCCTGGACCTGGGGCGTCCCATCCACTCTACAGGGTGAGCCACTTTAGAAATCAAACAATAAGGACAGCAGGGCCTCACCAGATCCCACGGGATAGCGGTGAGGGGGGCAGAGGGGGAAGGCTGATGTCAGGAAGGAACATGGATAAGGGGCATCAGAGAAAGAGGTTCAGTGTTTTTCAAAAAACCCTCAACAGTGCGCCTGTGCGCGCACACACACACACACACACACGATGAATTAAATGGATCCTTGTTTTCACGAGGATATTGTTAGTCCAGCCAGTGTCTTCAGGGGTAACACGGGGTAGAGGTTGCAAAGACAAACTGTAGCATCAGGCAGAGTTGAGTTCAGATGTTCATTCCATGACTCACTGAAAATATGACCTTGGGCAAATTTTGTGACTTCCTAAGCCTTGATGTCCTCACTTACGATGTGGTATGATTGTGGCATTTGCCCCATAGGGTCACAAGCCTGTGTGTATGTAACACAGTTAGCGTGGTGCCCGCAATAAGCAGTGCTTGTTCATTATTTTTATAGGGCAAGTTTTGACCAAATGATTTCACCGATAGAAATTCCTATCCATTTGGGCTCTTGAACTCTCTCCTCTTACTACACCTCCTCATACTTTTTAGATTCAGGGTGCAAGAAAGAGGAATTCTATCATAGCCAGAGGTTTCTGATTGACTACAGGCTAGTGACAAAGAGGAGATAATACTGTCATGAGAGGGTTGTGGTTTTTATTTGCACTAAATAGCAAATGTAACCCCAATGATCAATTTAACTGGGCACCAGCTTCTAGAGTCTTCCTCCTGATCCGCCAAATTAGATTGTACTTTTCTTAAGATTTTGTAAAGCCATGTGTGAAGCAGGAGTGTCCTAAACGTATGTTGAACGAACTGGGATGAGGAAGTCCTGGTGGTTTCTGTAGATGTCATTCCTGGAGTGCTGTGTTTTCTTCTCAATAAATACTGGAAGGGAAAACCACCAGTTTTCTTTTTTTCTTTTTTTTGGTGAGGGAGGGAAGCAATTTGGTTTGTTTATTTATTTATTTAATGGAGGCACTGGGGATTGAACCCAGGACCTCACACATGTCAAGCACACACTCTACCGCTGAGCTATACCCTCCCCTCAGAAAACCATCATTTGAGAGATTTTACTCATCAGCCCTGGCAGACGTGGGGATGGATAGTCTTCCCAAAGCTTCTGCAGAAAGGCTCTGTATCCTCAGGGTCATCCCGTGTCCCCAGAACCAACCTGAACGCCGCAAATGTACCAGAGTTCATAGGCAGTAAAATGAAGCTGACTCTACTGTCCCTCTACACATCCAGCCACCATAACCCCGCCACTCTTCCTCTCTAGAGCTGGTTGGCTGCCTTGCAGGACTCTTGCCCTGGGTGTCAGAGGTCTTTCCCCCATGAGCACCTATAAGAGAATGATAAACCTGTCTCTTCTCAATGCAGATCCAGTAGTTCAACAAGAAGGTCCAATATGGACAAGTGACACCAAGATGAAGAGGCCAACTCGAGAGAGAAGAAGCTTAGTCTCCTCCTCACAGCTAGTGACAGTGACAGAGAAAACCCCCGAGAGAGCCAAGAAAGGAAACCTGAGTGCTCTTGCCCAGAATGAGCCGCACCCAGCCCTCTCCCAGGGATTCCAAGGAACAAGTGGTTCTCAACTGTTGAGCGAGTCCCTGGGGCCACCACTCATAAGCACCAACTTGGGAGGGCCCAGAAGAACGACATTTCAGTTCAGAGATGAAGATTTTTATTCTGTTTTATCCTTAAACCCTAGAGGAGAAAATGATGATACGGAAGAGGAAACCCACACAGAGGAAGAACTTTTGTTGGCCGGTATGCTCCCGCTCCATTCTCCTTCCAGTCATAAGAGAAGTCGATTTCTTGGGACATCGGCCACTCAGGCCAAAAATAAGAGTTTTGTAGACCATCCTGCAAATTGCAGAGCTAACTCTATAAGAAGAAGTGAGTTCAGTCCTGGCTTATTAAGAATAAGCAGTGCAATGGAGCCAGTGACAGAACAGCCTTCTGTTGGGCCAAGTATGTTCCAAGACCCTAGGCTGCCTGATGCAGGGTCTTCTAAAGAGAATGATAGCAGTGACAGTGACAATGAGAAAAAGATCTTTCATTCATGGGACACCAAATCAGAACCCAGCCCAGATGATGATCTCCATGCTGACAATGTATTATTTACTGGTGGTACTTCTATGGAAGATAGACCTGGTCCTCATGATTATCAAAGAGGCTGGCAAGCCTATTTAAATGATTCTAGTAATTCTTTTGACTGTTTTCTTGCTAGCAGACCACCAGCTCCAAGATCATCAATGAATTCATCCTGTAACACTCCTGGATCATTAATGCATTCTGCTCTGAGAGATGATACTCCAGGAGACCTGTCAATGTCATCTACTTTAGTCCCTAATTCAGACTCAGGGGTAAACTCCAGGTTCAATGTTCGTCAACCACTGTCCATCATTAGACATAGGAATCTCCTGGCCAGTGCTGAAAACCACAGTTATTTTCCAGTAAACAGTGCACATGAACTTGATGTCAGGGGAGCAGAAGATACTACTTTAACAAGCCAATCTCAGGAGGCTCCATTATATACAGAAGATCTCTTACTAAATCATCAAAGCAGCTTGTCCTTGGTGGAGTCTTCCAGCTCCCCTCCATCACAAATGAACTTACAAGATCATTTGCATGTACCTGGGTCCCTGCAAGAAAATATACCTATTACTTTCTTTGCAGTGTCTGAGTTCCCAAATCAAAATGATACTGGGAGCAGAATGGAGGTCTCTGGTTTCACAGATGAAAAGGAAGCCACTAAAATAAAGGCAGACCCTGAGAAACTCAAGAAATTACAAGAAAGGTGAGGAATTTTCATACTTACACGTATATACATATATTTTTTAATTCTATTTCTCTAATGCCAAAATAAGCAGTGCTTTCACTAGAGGCGTCATAGGAATTTCAAATCATAGATACGATTCCTTGACATTTTAATGATTGCTTATTTCAAGAAAATTATCTGTTGTGTTGCTTTCAAAATATATGTACCTCCAAAGGAAAGTTTGGTGTTCCAGCCCAAATTCAGTATTCAGCCAAATTCTTCAGTATTGTCAAAGTGTTTTTACCTTGAACACCATAATTTTTAAGAAAGGCAAGTTTGCCAGATATAAGGGCAATGTAGGGCTTGTCCTTCCCAGCACTTAGGAACCAAGATTTAAGTTTGCTTTCTCCCCAGAGAATGAGCCATTCAGCACTTGAAGTTCCCCAACTCTCCCTCATGGGACTTTGGGCAAATCCAACCAGCAGTTCTAGAATCTGAATCTGCCAAACTAAAAGGCTAGTCCCGGTTACCATGGTTACGTCAGTTCTCACAAGGGCCGTGCTGGGGCAACCACTGCATCCATGTTCTGTGCTCTTTCTCATGCATGAGAAAGAGAGAAATAAGACCTTTTTTAAATCGCTCTTTTCTTTGATCTTTCCTTCCTTGTGAAATTATTTTGGGATATTTCACAACTATGAAATGCAGTACTTTTCAAAGCCACCATCAAACACCATGTCAGGATTCCACCATTTCGTTTATGATAGGTGGTTTCATAAGCCTGATGATTGCTTACCAATCTGGAAGGTGATTCTACAAATGTGAGCCTTCTTTGTGGGTTGGTTTGGCTCATTTGGGCCATTAATTATCCTACTGATACTCATTTATAAGTGAGAAAATTCCATGGCAATGAATTAGAATGGAGAAAAAAGGACAAGCTAGGACACAGAATGCAGACACACTCATGTCTATTATCCAACTGCAGGAATGAAGCAACTTCCTAGTTAGCGGCACCATTTTTTTTTTCCCACATATCAAACAAACTACAAAAAAACCAACCCAAGGTTAAGGGCCAGAATGTCTCGCAGCCAGCCACTGTTACCTACCCAAAAATACAGCTTCAGACCCACTTGTAGGAGTCCAGACTTCCACCATCCCAAAGCAATGCCTTTGGGTTAAAAATGATTTCTTTTAAAAATGCACTCACTTCTAGGTGTAGTAACTCATTAAACAGCTATTATCTGTGTGCTATATCACTCTTTTTTCTGTATATAATAAACTGTATGCTTTTCTTATAAATTTCAAAAATATTCACTTTAGGAAATACTAAAAATAAAAACTTGCAAGAAAAATCACCAATAACCCTATAATCCAGAGATGAGTACTGTTAAAAACTTTGTTTCCAGCCTTTTATCTCTGCAAAGAAATGCAATTTTTAGTAAACCTTGGTTCATATTTTATAATATGCCTTATTTTAATTTTTCAAGCCCATTTCTCAATGCCACTTATTCTCTTTAAAATTTTCCCTCAGTTAGTTACTTCAACACATACAAATAAGCATATAACGGATGCGCTAGAGAATCAGATACAGAAACAAAACCCGGACAAGCCTGTGTCCACCTTCCAGCCAACAGGACGTTGCAGAGCTTATGAACCCCTCATCCACCCTATCGCCTCATCTCCCTCCTTCAACCCCCTCCACACCCCCTAAACCCAGCAGAAACCATCCCTGTATTGCAATTATCATTCCTTTGCTTTTTATTTTGTCGTTGTTGGACGTTTTTTGCTTTATGGTTTTACCATATGAATATACGTCCTCCTAAACAATATATTGTGTATATTTTTTAATTCAATAGAAATGTTACTATTAGTTTTGAATTCTGTAGAAACGGAATATCTGTTCTTCTGTGACTTGCATTTTCCCTTTACATCATTAACCAGATGCATCCTGGTTCATGTTTTCTGGCTTTAACTCTTTTGCTTTCACTAGTACAGGCTATTCCGCTATAGGAATATACCACAGCTTAGCCATTCTCCTGTCAAGGAACATTTGGGTCCTGCACACGATGCTGCGTGAACATTCTTGTAAATGTCTCCTGGTGCACATGGAGAGGAGCTATCTGGGCTATTTTTGTAAGAGTGGGCAGCACATCTTCCACTGGACAAGTAATGCCAATGTACTGTCTCACCAGTAATGTATACCGTTTACATCCTTGTCAGCACCTGTATTCATTGGCATTTCAAATGTTTGCCAGTCTGATGGGAGTAAAATGATACTGTGGCTTCAGTTTACATTTTCATGACTGTTAATGAGGTTAGGTGCTTTGTTTGCTTTTTTTTTTTTTTTTTGGTGGGGAAAGGTAATTAGGTTTATTTTTTAATGTGTGCGTGTGTGCGTGTGTGTGTGTGTTTTTACTGGAGGTACTGGGGATTGAACCTAGGACCTGATACATGATAAGCATGCACTCTACCACTGAGCTATACCCTCCTCACCTTGTTTGATCTTTTTTACTTTATTTTGGGAGAGGTAATTAAGTTTATTTATTTTTAATTGAGGGACTGGGGATTGAACCCAGGCCATGCTAAGCACATGCTCTGCCATTGAGCTATACCCACTCCTTGTTTGCTCTTTAAAATTTTTTTTAATAATTTTTTTTTGCAGGGGGGAGGTAATTAAATTTACTTGGTTTTTCAGTCGAGGTACTGGGGATTGAACCCAGGATCTCGTGTATGCTAAGCATGTGCTCTACCACTTGAGCTTTACCCTCCCCCACCTTTTAAATGTTAAATGACATTTGTGTCCCTCTTCTGTAAAATACTTATCTAAAGCCTTCTGCCCACTTTCAGAATATTTTTAAGAATCCTTTAAATATTCTGGCTGCTAATCTGATCCTTTGACAGTCATGTGTTGGAAATTTCTTTTGCCAATTTGTAGTTTGTCTTTTCTTGTGATGTTTTTCAATGAAGATAAATTCTTAATTTTAATTTAGTCAACTGGTTGTCTTAAGAAATTCTTTGCTAACCTGGGGTCATTAGGACACTCTCCCTATCTTCTTCTGAAATCTCTACAGTTTTACTTTGCACGCTTAGGACTTAGTGTGAAATGACTTTTGGACCTAAGTGCAAAGTGCTGTTTAATACATGGTGTGAGGTATGCACTGTGAATGCCCAGTTGTCTATTCTGTCCTACTGATCTTTTTTGTTTTTCCCTAATTGAATACCACCTCATCTCAATGTCTGCAGTTTTATAAGTTTCAATAACTGATGATGCAAGGCCTCCTTCCCCAGTTGGTTCCTTAAGAGTCTTGACTGTATACATTTAAGATCCATCTTGTTGAGATTTTCACTGGAGTCACGCTGAGGCTATAGGTTATTCTGGGGAGAACTGACATCTTGGGTTATTGGATCTTTCTTGGACAAACATGATATACTTCTTATTTTGTTTGTGCCTATAATGAAAAAATATAATTGAGTTCCTTTTCATCGAATTTCCCTTTCTTGGGGAGAAAGTTCTCTCAAGAAACTGAGCACACACTCCTATATCCAGAGCAATGTCCATTTCTTCCTCTCTCCTTTGATTTTAGTCTCCAGTTGGTTTCCTTTCCTTGACCAGAAAATCCCCAGTCCCAAGAGGATTCTAAAGAACCAAAAATTAGCCTTAGGCTTCTCAGGTCTCTCTATAGGAACGTCAACCAGCTATTCTTGACTCACCATTTATTAGGCACAAAGGTTTGCTTACATTTTCATTAATTCCATCTTCATCGCATTCCAGCAGCTCACACTCTGGAATGTTGGCATAATTTATTGGCAAGCATTGAGTTACTGGTGAGCTCACGTCCAGGTCCACCGGTCTGTCACTCATCCCTGCCAGCATCTACCGATTGGGCTGTATGTGCCAATCCTTTACCAGACCCTAGATGCACTTAAGCATTTGCAGGGCAGGTTCAGCGTTATCATGGCCTCCAGGCTGCCCAGGCAGCAGCGGCAGGACAAACCCCATGGCTTTACAGGTGAGGAAACAGAGCCTGGGAAGCTTACATAGCCTGTCCAAGGTCACCAGACTCACAAGTTTTAGAGGTAAACCTCTAATGCAAGCCGACGGACCACAAACCCCTACACCCACCAACATGCCACCCGGCCAACCTCCTGGCAGTGGCCATGGCAGGGGTAGGGGTTCCCAGATCTTCCCTCGGTTTCCCTGTGTAGCCCTTTCCCAGCCTGTGGAGGATGTGGCACAAGCTAGTTCTCCTGGCCAGCTCACACCCATCAGTAACTGCACAGAAGCCTGATTTAAGAATCCGTACACCTGTTGTCAGTAAGCGTTCCTGGAAGACTGTTCAGCAGGGTCAGCGGGAACAGTGGGTGACCTGGGCAGCCCTGGTGGGCAAGGCATGGGGGGCCGGGGATTGCTCCCTCTCCCTCCTCCCGCCCCATGAATGCCTTGGAAACTGCACATATGTAGACTCCTGGTGACGAGGGCTTGTTTTCCACGTAGTCTCCTGCAGGAGGACTCCGCAGAGGAGGGAGACTGGTGTCGCATCTGCCAGATAGCCGGGGGTTCCCCCACCAACCCCCTCCTGGAGCCCTGCGGCTGCGTGGGAAGCCTGCAGTTTGTCCATCTAGAGTGCCTGAAACAATGGCTGAAAGTGAAACTAACATCAGGTAGGTGTGGGGGGAAGAACGGCAAACGGGCAGCCACCTATGATTAACCGAGGCTCCGCGGTGTGGAGCTTGACAACAGGGCACTCTGAGCGGCCCCCCGGGGGGACGTGGCCGCCCAGCCCGGGACTCCTGCTCACGTACCCGGACCCCGACCGTAACTGAACGCTGTCTTCAAATTACAGGAGGGAAGTGTATTTTTTTTTTTTGCAAGTGTAAGGGAGGGATCCTGGAAAGTGCTATCCTCTGCTTGACGCCTGAGCAGAGATGCTAAGGTTGCCTCTCAGGCGGAAGGAGACTAGAAATGGGTCCGTGGTTGGGCCGCAGCCAGCAGCCAGCAGCCCTCCCAGCCGGTGGACGCCCGGCAAAACCAGTTCCACTTCCTTTTACTGGTGCAGGAAGGGGTGGTGTCACCTAGACACTGAGTTAAGCTGCCTTTTTGCAGCAGAAGTAGGAAAAGAGCACTGATCTAATTTTTCTAGAACTGTATTAGATAAAGAGATCCCCGTTGTGCTCACTCTGTCAGCTCTGGCTTTAACACGTCTCCTAACTGGGTGTGAAGCCCGTTCCCAGCTCCCCGGGGAGGTTACAGCCTAAATATAGCCACGTCAGTAGGTTGGCTGTAGTTTTCTTGGCAGAAAACAGGAGGTTTCTTTAAAACATGGTTTTAGGAATGAGAGCAACTTGAACAACAAAAAAAAAGTAGAACGCCAATGCAAAGACCAGTTGGTTTCTAAAAGAGTCGCTATGTCTTTCAGCCTCCCCTCTCTGAAAACTCCTTACCCCATAGCCGGATGCTGTTTTTCTCCTCCACCACTTCACCTCCTTGGTTGTCATTGTGCCAGACAACCTTGGAGACCCACGACTTGACCCTGTCCCCCTCATGGGGTGTGGCCCTGCCCCTTCACCAAGAACAGCCCGCCACTGAGTCAGGGAACGCACATGGGATGATCCTAGTAAGTGTCTCCTCCCTGAGGCCCCTTCTCCATGTCCTCCGCATGAGAAATGTAGGCCCCACCACTGCCGGAGTTGCTTAAATGCATCTCCACGTAGTAAGCAGAGTACTCAGCCCTTCAGAGAGCAAGTAACAAGTGGATCTCAGCCACTAATGACTCCGCCATGCAATGTGTTATCTTACTAGAAATTTGGGCCAATTAAACATCTAGCACAGAAAAAAATTACTCATGAGATGTGTGATGAAAGTACTGCTAAATGCCTGTAAATGCCAGTGCTAGTCTGCGTGTGTTCCTCAGGATTAGCCTGGAGGACACATGGGACATTCCATAGCCTCAAGTATTATAGAATGATGTTTAAAAAAAAAAACCAAGCAAACAAAATGCAGATAAAGGATTACTGTTCATCCTTGTCCTTTGAAATTCTCTATTATTTACTGCATCTTTGTATTCCCCCAGTGGGGAAAAGTATAAAACTGTACAAGCCCTATATTAACCAAATACATTCACATAACCGATTAGTCCGCTATTATCTAATGCATAAAATAAACACCAGTACATCATTAGCCAACCTGCAGCACATACACCAGGGGGAAAAGCCATATAGCATAATGGTTGCTTAGACATAAAAGCCACAGTTCTGCATCTTCTACTTTTGCTAGAATTCATGCTAAAACAAACAAACAAAAAAAAAACAGCAACAAAAAAAACCCTTCTCCTGTTTCTTTTCCCAAAGGAGGCTGAGCTCAGGCTCAGATGCTGGCCCCAGAAATGCTGTACCAGTGCCCGCACATGGCCCCAGGGTCCCTCACGTTTCTCAGGTGGGAAGTCACCTGCTGGAAGTAAAAGTAGACTTGGAAGCCATAGATTGAGGATGGCTTCTACCATCAATTTGGTCCTTACTAATTTACTAGCTTAGATCTGTGTTAGGTCTGCCAGAAAAAACAACAGTAACATAGACCCAATATTCACTCATTTGGCAAATACCTGTGCTATAGACTCTCAGCCTCCTTGTAGTAATTCCAGTTTTATGAACCAATATGTTTATATTTAAACGGAAACCAAGATCTGTTATTTAAAAGTCATGGGAAAATCACTTATAGGAAGCTGCATAAAAATGAAAATGGTTACAAAGGAAATTTTTCAGATCTCAGATTCAAGGTCATTTTCTACAGAAGATGGCTGACTTTTTAAAGAGTCTCTGAAACTCAGAATTCCTCACGCACACAAGTTCGCTCTCAGAATATCAACACGGAAAGACCTAGGGTTATATATAACAGAATTTTTTAATTTAAGGAGCAGATCTTAGCACTGTGAAGACCTGTGAGATGTGTAAGCAAGACCTGCTGGTCGACCTGGATGATTTCAACATGACCGAGTTCTACCAGAAGCACCAGCAGTCCCGGGTAAGAGAAGCTCTCACCCTCTCCGGCTCCACAGGCTAAAGTCAAGTCGAGGTGCAGGGCGAGAGGAAACTCTTTCCCCAGTATAAGGACTGTACGAGGCCTGTGCATGGGATGAGTCTTCTCTCAGAAGATGTGTTACTAAATTGGACCTCTGGAGGGTTGGAAGACTTGGTTGCCCGGGGTTGAGATCCCACTGCTGTCAGGGACAAAGTAGGAAGCTACAGTAACTAACCGGACACACAGAAATATAGGAATAGTCTAGCAGGCTCCACACCCAAATTTACTGAAATAATTTAAGTTTTGAAAGCAACAAGAGAAAAAAAAATCAAGGTCTTGCAGGAAATAGTCCCCAATTTATATATCAAGTAATTCTGGGGTAAGAAGGAACTGCTTTGCTGAACATTCAAAAACATGTAGTAAGTGCCTACTGTGTGCTTTTTAATGCCTCGTAAACTAATTCTCCTGGGACATCTGGATTGCAATTCTAATACTGTGAAAAGTTTAGTTAACCTTCAGTGGGAAGGTGATTTAGGCCCAGGATAAGTTTATTGCCCAATTCTTAGGCAAACAATCTTCTATTTGGAACTGCACTGCCCAATATGGAAGCCGCAAGCCACATGTAGCTAACGAACAAGTGGTTACTTCCAGCCGAGATGTGCTGTAAGTGTTCTACACTGAATTTCAAAGGCTCAGTACAAAAAAAAAAAAAAGAGTGTAAAACATCACATAAATAATTTTATATTAATTATATGTTGGAAATGATAATATTTAAAAACATATTGGGTTTGATCAAATATATTATTAAAATTAATTTCACCAGTTTCTTTTCGCTTTTTAATGTCACTCCTAGGAATTTTCAAATTACATAGGTGGCTTGCCTTGATGACTTATGTTGTATTTCTTTTGGGTGGTGCTGATCTAGAAGGTACCCTGCCCATAATAAGCAGTCAATAAATATTTATCAAGTGAAAATAGTCCATCAGTACCATTATAATTCAAGACCGACCTCCCTCATTACACAGTGAGAAAAAAAATGATTAATGACCACGACTGTAAAGCACACAATTTAAAAACTATAAAATCATCATTAGCAACTAAAATGTCACTCTTCAGAGGAGTCACTTTGGCTTTCAGATCATTAGCCTGTCTGTATCCAGACCCCCCCTTTTTTTTTTTTTTTTTTTGCAAAAAGCTCATCTGAGTCAAAATAGTGTATCTGAGTCTGGGCAATTCTGTAGTTGTCTTTTTAAAATCCTAAGGCTACTAGATTTCAAAAGCCGAAATATTGAAAAGAATAGAGATTTGAACAGCGCAACCAGTAAGTATGATATAACAGACATAAGACTACCCCAGCCTTGAAGAGCTGGGGCCTCAGGAAGCTGAGAGGGAGGGAGGGGGAGAGAAAGGAAGAAAAAACAATTTCCTGGGAAATCAACTCAGTATTTTGAGTCTATACATTCTGAGACGGGAGGGTCTCAAGACATTCAGTCATAACCCCCAGGCACTGAGATCTGAGATGAGAAACAGAAGCCACACACGTTCTTAGCCCCTGAGGATGCTGGAGTCAAACGATTGAAAGGAACCAGGCCCTCTGAATGCCTGAGGTCAGGGTGCCAGCCAGATGCAGACGGTTCTATGCAGTCATTTCAAAGAATAAATTATTTCAGGAAGTGGAGCCCACAGGACTTCCTGAGAAGGACAAGTCCAGATGAGGCCAAGTGACCCGAATCCCACCAGAGTGGTCTGCAGACTCCACAACCTCCGCACAACCCCGGGAAAAGCTTTGTCTAGGAAAGAAACCTGTTGGTCCCAAGCGTTCTCACCCTGTTCTCCCTCTGCAAAGCCGAAGCCGCTGCCACCACCATACGCTATAGGTTTACCAGTGGTACTTGTAGAATTGACTCACTAACAGCAAATGTTTTCAGCTGTTTTTAAAGTGTGTGCATGCGTGTAGACGAGGCAGCCCAGACCACCAGAAGGCACACCAGCTTTGACTAAGATGTGAATCTAAATCCTATTCCCCTCCCCAAAGCTGCCAGGTGACCTTGGGGAAACTACACACACTCTCTGGATCTCAGTTTCTCATCTGTAGGAAGTAAGAGACAATGATTTCCTACCCCACAGGATTGGATGTAGGAAAAGACCCGAGCACATCACCTAAGACAGCGCCTGGGCAGAGAAGACTCTCGGTAAAAGAGGGCCATCATATTGCAGCTGCAGAGACGCCCGACCCCTTTGGACTGAAGGAGAAAGCTAAGTATACCAGGACCAGGCTAGAGTCCATCATTGAGCAAGGCCAACTGGCCCCCACAGGGGTCATATCGGTACCCTTGGCCTCACTGCATCCTACCAGCTGAGAGAACAGGCTACAAGCACACCCTAAAAAGAACTGTGAACATAACTATGTCAGCCAGGGTCTGGACTGGAAAGAGATGGTGGCACACACCAAAGGGGTGAGTGATGAGAGCTGAATGAACGGCCAAAACGCAGGCAGTAAAAGAGCAACAAGGAATGACTGGGTATCCTGGGACCAGCCACTGACCACTGACCACTCCTAGGCCTGGAATGACAAGAGGAGGAGCAGCCACCAGGATCAGGAGGGCCGTAGCTATAGGAGAGAGTCACCCCAGCCTGTGACCTTCAGTCAAGAGGAGCTGCTGTGGCCACACCTTTGCCCAGCAGAGAGGGAACAGGAGGAACAACTACCCCAGCCTCTGTCTCCTCCCTCCCTCCCTCTGGCCTCCTGCAGGGCCTCCCATTGGCTGAACCCAACAGGAAGCCAGAGGCCAAGGGGGCCTAGTTAAAGTCATCCATTGAGATGGGCCACAGAGCAAGGTGGAAAGTGGATCTGGAGGGGAACATGGAAAATATCCAGCACGGTAATTATGCTGCATGGAAGCAGAAAAGAGTTTAAATTAGTTTCAGTGAGAATTTGACAGGCCATCAAAGCCTTTTAAAAATGCCCTTCATTATCATCTCAGGGAGACACTAGGTTGACAGACCCACCTCGGTGGGAGAACAAAGGTCCCGAGAACCAACGTGTAATATTTATCTGCTGATGGAAAGCAGTCGAGACCTCACACTTTTACAACCGTTCTGACCATTCTGATGGCCTGGGGGGAGTTTAATAGTGTCTGTTTGCTAACAGCCTGAGTTAAACTTGAGATACCAGGGAAGTGTGACATAGACAAGTTCAGAAACTCTCCATGGACGAAGACTAGAGTACCTGTTGTTTAGCACAAGGGCTGGAACACGACCTCGGGCCTGGCCAGGGAGCTGGTGTGCACGCCTGTGCTTCTGAGGTCCAGGCCCTTTCCCTGACTCCCAAGCCTTGGCTCCTCGGGGCCCTCTTAGGCAACCCTCAGCACTCTTCACTCCTTGGCAAAGGGGTTCCCTTCTTGAGAAGTGGAGTAGCTGATGCCAAATACAGACAAGTACAAAGGAAAGGTCAAAACCAAAAGACACCTAGAACTGGCTTCAGTGCAGTCTGGCTCACGCTTGGGCTCAACTAGCTAGCTAGCTAACTCACTAACTTCTTTTCTTGTGCATTTTTCCCATTTAGATTTTTCTTTTTTGCTTTTCCTTAATTATAAAAATCAGCAACACACAAAAATCTCCCATAATCAAAATTAACATTTAGCAGCATGTCTTTTTTTCTATTAAAATACAGATGCCCAGGCCCAGCCCCAGAGATTTTGATTTAATTGGTCTGGGATAGTACGAGGGGATCAATTTTTTTTTAATGTGGCAAAATACACATAAGTTTCATACATTAACTTTTAAAACACTTGTTGGATGCCTACTGTATGTCAAATACTGTGCTGGGTGATAGTGTGGCACCCAAGGCCAACACAGTCACTGCCTTCCAGTGGGGAAGCCAGCGGTGTCCCTGGGGTGGGAGGGCCAGAGTGACTGATACACAAGCAGCTGTGGGAACAGCTGCAGAGAAGCCCTCCCCACAGAAAAGACATTTAAGACCAGGAAGGAAAAAGAGGAATGAGCTCTCTAGCCACGTGGGAGACAAGACACCCCACTGGGCAGCTGACCATAGACTGTGGACGTGCCCTTTGGGTGCCCAGTCAGCACTGTCAGTGACCTTTGAGGCTGTGGAAGGGCTTGGACCAACCTGTTTTCCTGATTTGCTTCAATGCATCTGAGTAGGGGCAGCATGAACCCTGCCCTTGGCTTCTACCAGGGCAGTGAAATCCCATTATCCCTACGTCTCTCAGACACTGGGTGTTCCCATAGGGCCCCGTAGGGTCAAGGCTTGTTGCTAGGCTTCGAGTGGCTAGATCAGGAGCCCCTATAGGCTGTCTGGAGAGAGACACCCTGAGGCTAAAGCAGATGTGGGGCCCCAGGACCTGGACTAAGCACCTCAGAGCTGCCGGCACCTGGTGGTCCAGTCACAGGCCTGTCAGGGCTGGCAGAGGTCCACCCCTACCCTTATTCAAAGGTGCCTAAAAATTCAGCCCAGCAGGCGTTCCACACCCACGGCCAATAGCAGTGCCGCCTGTGAAGCACCTCCACATCCCCTGTGTGCGGCTCTTTAACCTAGGAAGAGGACTCACCCGTACTTGTGGGTGGGACCCTCAGTCTCGGAGTTGAAGGAAGAACTCCTAGATGGCAAGGTGTAGAGCTCCAGGTAACACTCCAGGCTCCAAAATGGACCAAGAGAAAACCGGTTTAAGAGAAGCTTAGGTCACAGATTTGTACACTCAAACGCTGCAGAGGCCAGGCAGGTAACAAGTGATCTGAGTCTTCCGTTGGGAGTGGTGGCAACGGTGGCCCAATGGAGAGTACTCGGTGCAACTGCCGGAGTTCATGCCCGTCCTTTCCTTCCTTCCTTCCTTCCTTCCTTCC